CACCCATTTTGCTCAACACGTGGACAGTGAATGGAACACGCACGTGGGCAAGGATCTTAGGCAGAACACAGCGAATTACAGCCTAACTACAACTGACAAGTGCTACGCCTGCGGGAAAAAGGGTCATCATGCAAAGGATTGTCGCTCTACTAAACAAGGTAATACATCTAAAGGCGACAAACAAGTCAAGTTTGCACTTTTACTACTTGATGATGGATGGTCAGAAGGTCGTGACGGAATCAAGATGAAGAAGTGATTTAGTGGATACTGAATTCAGGATCCAGTCAACACTTAATCGGCAACTCATCGTGGTTATTCAATACGAGAGAAATAAACATTAGTTGTACCATTCCAGACGGTACCAAGTTCAAAGCCACGCTAGAAGGATCCATGTTGCTCACCTGCACAGTGAGTAACATTGAACGAGACGTACTACTCACGAATGTACGTTTCATCAAGGGATTGTCACAGAATCTGCTCTTTTATGGTCTATTGGAAGAGAAATGATGTGTATTATAGTACAAAGATGGACATAGAACTTTACACAACACCGGCAGTGGACGAGGTGTAACAGACGTGATTTAAAGGCAAACGTGCTCACAGTAGAGTGTAGAGTCAAAGGGAATACATGCGATGAGGCAGAGCCGACAGAGACAGCGCTCTCAGCACTCACATCGAATGCAAAGGAAGACAGTATAGCCCCTGTGAGGGACACCCTGATTACCTTGCACCGGCGTTTGGGACATCTGGCCTACGACACGATCGAAAGGATCGCCAACAACCCAAATTCAGGCATAGAAATAGCAAATGATACACGGAAAGTCTGTGTAATTTGCCACGAAGGCAAGCAGACAAGAAACGAGCAGCCCAGGAATGATACAGGATCCAATGCACCCATCGATCGCATTGGAGGTGTAATAGTAAGTGATATAAAGGGCCCTATCACACCAAGGGATAGATTGAGCAACACATACTTGATCAACTTCGTCGACCATAAGACGAATTATTGTCGAGTACTCCTGGCAAAAG